ACAGGAAAATGCATGGCTTGTTAGTACATTCTGTATTTTAATGAGCCCCATGGTGTGTTTGGCCCGGAGTCCATGAGCCTCAGATACTGAGTGGAGACTGAGCAAAATACTCAAGAAGTCAAAGTCAGAAGAAAACCCAAAGTACCTTGAAGCATTGATTGGCCCCACTGAGGGCCATTACTGACAAAGCCTCCCCATGGACTCGTTAGAGCAGATAATTGGAGGCTGTGTTACAGGTAGGCAAAGGCACTGTGCAGGTGGCTGTAAGGCTGCAAAACCCCTTGGTTTGTTTTATGAAGCAGAAAGGCCAAGCCCTGACCCCCAGGCCCTGCGAAGGCATGTCATGACCCTCACGTGTGGGTCAGGGCTCTTCCTGGGGGCAGTGGGGTGTGAGGGTGAGCAATGCCACATTTAGGGAAACTGCACAACACCTCCCGGCTTCCCCAAGAAGGGACAAGGAGGAAACAATGTTCAGAGTTAGAAAATAAGATTTATCCTGGCAGGCTTCAGTGACAGAGGCAACTGCCATAGCCAAAGGGACAAAGAGCTTGGGTTTTTTTGTAGCCTTTCAGCCCTTTATGAGCCCTTGGCTACTTCTACTGCAGGTTTTCTTCTGCTGTCCCCTTCATGTATGTTTTTCCCTTCAGGCTCTGGCATCCATCTTGCTTTCCCACCTAGCTGTCACCTCAGCATTTCTGTACTTTCATTGATATATCTCCACCATCGCTGGCTGTTCCCTGACAAATAATGCCACGGGCTGATCACAAACTTCACTGACTGTCTTACACAATAATGCCACCCTTTCAGTGAGATTTCCTTTTCTCACATCCAGTCTGAACTTTCCAAGCTGCGTTTTGTTTTTTCTCTTCCCGCTACCAAGAAAAGCTCCATCATCACTGAAAGTGCCCTTCAAGCACTTTCACAGGCTACTGCTACAGTGCCCTGAGCCTCCACTTCAGCAGACTGAGGAAGCCCAGGTCCCTCAGCCACCCCACAGACCCCAAACTCCTTCCTCAGAGATCTCGTTTGAAGCTTCTCCATTTCCCTCCATTCCTCCAGAACAGAGAGCCCCACCCCAGACACACTAGTCCAGATGTGGCCACACCAGTACTGTGTGAACGGGGATGATAATCCCCTTCTCTGGGTGGCCACGCTCCTCCTAACTCTGCCCTGTTTGCACTTGGCCTTATTTATGCTGATCATGCCCCGCTGGCTCACATGGCATCCCTTGTAACCCAGGCTCTTCTCATGACGGTCAGTCCTGGGCTGGTCGGGTCCCAGCCTGCCCTCCTGTATGGGGTTATTCTCTCCCCAGTAAGTGACTGGCTGCTTCTACTTGTAAAACTTCATGAAGTTTCTATTGCCAAATCCAAGAGTTTCTCAAGGTCCCCCACAAGTGAATGTTCATTGGGCCAGATTTTAATGCCAGGCAGAAGTGACCTGGCAGCCAGCACCCGAGGGGACACCACGTGCTGCTGTGCTGCAGAGGCCCCTGCTCAGTCACCCCAGCAGTGCTGGAGGCAGGCGATGCCCTCCACCACCCCGCAGGTACTCTGCCTGCCTGCCAGCTCCTGCTCCAGAAGGGACCCCATATGTCCTGGGACACACGGGTGCTCCAGCTACACCAGGGCAGTGGCCACCTCTGTGTGGATGGCAGAATCATGTCCTGAATGTATATTTTGGAAAAACTTCTAATTCAGCATAAAAGAGCTCGATATAATAGATGAGAAAGTCTTCATTTCCAGCACTGTGAGGTTTTTAAGGAAGATTCTTTCCAGTTTACTTAGTCTTTTATTAACAGCACCAGGGGTATGTCCTATCAAACTGATATGCTCTCTTGCTCTGTAGAAATAGTTTTATGCAGCCACTTATCACAATAAATTTTCTTACCAATAATTGAAATGGAGAAACATTGCTCAGAAGAGCTACCGTGTTTATACAGGCACATTATTTATTCTACTTATGCCTCTCTGTCTTTTCTCCTTCCTCCGCCTATTTAAACTTCAATGAGCTTTTCAATGGAAAGATCCCATGTGTCATAGAAGTCCTGCTGGAAGAGACCTGAGCACTATCTTGTCTGATTCTCCCTCTCAAGGCAGGGTGAACTAGATGAGGTAGCTGAAAGGCTCCCCCAGATTGTCATCATCCACAAAGGACATGAAGGTGAGCTCCATCCTGTCATACAAGGAGATAATAAAGACGTTCAACAGTGTTGGCCCAAGTGCTGGTCACTGAGGGAGGTCGCTAGTGACTGGTTCTCAGGAAGACTCTGTACCACTGATGACATCTGGGACTGATCGTCCAGCTAAACTCCCACCCATCTCATCATCAACTTCTTCAGCCCAGATAGCACCAATCTGGCTGCAAGGAGACCATGTCTAAGGCCCTGTTAAATTCCAGGCACACAACACTGCCTACATTCCCCTCCTATACACCTTCAATAATCTTTTTCTTTCTTTCAATGGCCTGTAGGAGGACTTGTCCCACCACCTTCCCCCTTCCCAGGGGCTGAGGTGAAGGTGACCATTGTAATTCTCACAAACTTCTTTCTTATACTTCTCAAAGAGAAGTGCGATGTTTGTAATTTCTGAGGACCAGGAACTTCCCTGATTGCTCTGGGTTTTTAGAGATGTTTGAGAAAGTCCATGATAACACTGTCCAGCTCCACCAACACCTCTTTGTCCCTTCCCACACCAAAAACCTTCTAAATATCACACATTTCCACAGAAATGCCCAGGACAGAGCACATGCTTGTCCTTCTCCTCTGGTCCTGTTCATCAGACAACCAGAAAGGATTTCTGCCTGCAGGCCCACAACTCTGAGGGGGTGTCTCTACAGCTCACAGCTTGCCTGAGAATTTTTCTCAGTGTTGTTTGTATCCCCCAGAATATCTCTGGTTCACAGTCTGTAAATGAGGGTATTGATCAGGGGCATGAGGATAGTGTAGAAAAAAATTTTGTCAAACTATCTAAGGAGGCCACAGGACTGTATCTGGGACAAGAATGACATGATGACTGCAGATGACATCAATACCCCTAGCCAAGATACAGCTGCCTTCTCAGCACAGACCTGCCAGTTTGGGAATCTTGCAGAGAGAAGTGGGTGGCACACAGCCTGGTACTGTCCTTAGGATGTAGCCACCAGAGGGAAACACTCAGCACCTGCAAAAAGTGCCAAAACCAGCACTGACACTGCTGTGAGCAGAGGTGGTACCTACAAGGAAGAACTTTTGTTTCTTTGTTAGTTGATTCAAAGAATTGTAAAAGAAGTTGAGAGAGGTGAAAGATGAAGGCACGTGTGTTTCTGAGTGCATTCACACTCCCTAGATGTGCTCTGTGCCTTCTGAAAGGTGAGAAATGCCTTCTTCTGAAGGGCAGCGTCGCTCATGCTTGCAGAACCCCTTCTGAGTGCGCAGGTGAGATGCTCCCCAGGGCAGCTCATTTCATTCTGTGCATTTGAAGGCAGGGGCCAGACAGCCAAGGAAGGGTGATGAGCAGCAGAGGCTTTTGCAATGAACTGTCCAAGGAGGCTGAGATGAGTCTCACTGGGAAGGTGGGGTTGTTCCTGCAGCAGTCACACACAGAAGTGTCAGGGCTCTGTCAGGTGCCCACAGCTGAGCTGGCCTCGGGCACTCCTCTTACACACAGGGCTGTTCAGAGACACGAGTCCTTCCCTTGCACACACAGAGGCAGTGCACTGCAGGAGCCATAGTGTCTCTCTGAACTCCTGCTGCCACCCCCAGAGTCTGGGAGGCACCTCATCCCTGCGGTGCTTGCCCTGTTCTGCACCCGTGGGAGATGCCCCAAGGCATGAGAATGGACACAGGGACCGCGGTTCAGGGAAGAACCTCCCAGTGCTGCATTCAGGGGGTTTCCTCGGGGATGTCAGTCTCTACGTGAAGGGACCCCAAGAGATGGTCTGTGCCACAGACCTTCATGGCAACCCCAGGAATAGCTGGTGGATTTTGTGCTCACTCTGGTTCATCTCACCGCTCACACATGATGTGCAGGTTTATGCTTTGTCTGTACAATGCAAACACGGACTTCTGACCTAGTCCTTTGTTGTCCTTCTGTGGAAGTATGAAAAACCTATCTGATCTGAGGTAAGAGGTCCATGCTGGAAATGGTGGTTGTTATTGTCTGGTCTGTGGCAATTGCCCTGGGGCTGCTTCCCCGGGGTGTCCAGCACACACGGGCACAGCCCAGCCCATGCTTTCCTGGTCCTTCAGGTCTCTCACAGGAGCCTGGCTGTACAAGAACACTGCTGTGAGCCCCCACCCTACACATGCACACACTTCCACACTTCACTGGTGGTTTCTCTCCCAGACAATTTCCTGGGCATGGTCTTGAGAGCAACTCTGGAAGAAGACCTGAGCCTTCCTGCACTGCCCTGAGGAGATCCCCTTGTCTGATGGAAACGCTGTTATGAAGGCCAGCTCTGTCACGGATGTACCCACTGCCTGTCCCTACCTGCGGTCAAAGGACTGCCACACCATGGGACAGTGACCAAGGCACAAAACCACTCAGATCTTAGACCAATACAAGGGCTCAGGAGCAGAAAGTGGAAGTGGAAAATGAGCAGCACTGGAAAGACCAAGTGGTTGTGTTTTTTGGAAGCACTACTGTGCCGTGGTGCTTTTCCCATCCACTCTGCACACAGGCACTAACCCAGCAGGTCGGGAGATGGCCTTGGAGGAATGATCTCAGAGAAACATGTTGCTGCAGCATCCTTTATCTTGTTTAAACAGAAAGGAAGCACAGGTCCTAATTTACACAGTCTCTAGGTCACACAAAAGCTTGATAGTTGCATTATTAGAAAAAGGTCAAATAATGACAATTCTTTGTAGAGAACACCATGTAAATTAAAGAAAGCAAAAAAGCCCACCCAACCCCAACAAAAAACAACAAAAGCTACAGATTATGCACTGGGATGTAATGATTTAAAATATGAGTGGTTTACAGAAGACAGGTACTTTATTTTTTCACAAAATCATTCTGTTATCATTTCCTCAGGGCATCCTTGATCTCCTGGTTCCTCATGCTGTAGATGAGGGGGTTCACTGCTGGAGGCACCACCGAGTACAGAAATGACACCACCAGGTCCAGGGATGGGGAGGAGATGGAGGGGGGTTTCAGGTAGGCAAAGATGCCAGTGCTGACAAACAGGGAGACCACGGCCAGGTGAGGGAGGCACGTGGAAAAGGCTTTGTGCCTTCCCTGCTCAGAGGGGATCCTCAGCACGGCCCTGAAAATCTGCACATAGGAAAAAAGAATGAAAACAAAACACCCAAATCCTAAACAGGCACTAACCACAAGGAGCCCAGCTTCCCTGAGGTAGGAATCTGAGCAAGAAAGCTTAAGAATCTGGGGGATTTCACAGAAGAACTGGTTTATGGAATTGCCTTGGCAGAGTGGTAGGGAAAATGTGTTGGGAGTGTGCAGGAGAGAATAGAGAAATCCAGTGCCCCAGGCAGCTGCTGCCATGTGGACACAAGCTCTGCTGTCCAGGAGGGTCCCGTAGTGCAGGGGTTGGCAGATGGCAACGTAGCGGTCATAGGCCATGATGGTGAGAAGAGAAAACTCTGCAGTTATCAAGAAGAGAAAGAAAAAGAGCTGTGCAGCGCATCCCAGTAGGAGATGTCCCTGGTGTCCCAGAGGGAATTGGCCATGGCTTTGGGGAGAGTGGTGGAGATGGAGCCCAGGTCAATGAGGGAGAGGTTGAGGAGGAAGAAGTACATGGGGGTGTGGAGGTGGTGGTCACAGGTGATGGCTGTGATGATGAGGCCGTTTCCAGGAGGGCAGCCAGGTAGATGCCCAGGAAGAGCCAGAAGTGCAAGAGCTGCAGCTCCCGTCTGTCTGCAAATGCCAGGAGGAGAAATTCGGTGATGGAGCTGTCATTGAAAATTTGCTTCCACTGGTCATTGGGCACTGTCCATGGAGGAAAATACATTGAAAAGTTAGGGTAGACTTCTCTGAGATAAAATCTACTCTGTATCTCTCAGCAACTGCCTCTCCCTTTTAACCAAGACCTTCGGCCAGTCCGTCCGGTGAGCTCAGGTTGGTGTTGGCTGAGGGTGCCCCATGGAGCAGGGGCTCTGCTGTGATCTCTGGAGGAGTCTGTCCTGCCAGACAACCACAGATAAATCGGAACACATGTGATCTGAGATTACATTCAGTCATGTTTCCAAAGAGGTTTTCAGCATGTTTGCAAACAATTCACCTGACTGCAGGGCAGACCTCTGGGGATTATTTTTGTTCAGACTGTTCTAGTTGTACCACCACACAAGGAGTGGTTTTAAGGCTGAAATTCTTGGCATTTCTGCTGCACTCCCAGTGAAAACTTCTGGGTCCTGAGAGGCCAAGGGTCTGTCCTGCAGTTCAGAGTGAGGAGAGTTGTTCTGTCCATCAACCCTGGTTTCCTCTGCTCTGTGTTGGCATCACTTTGAGCTGGATGATGATAGACAGATTTTCCCCAGACAAGAAACTGGACACTGCTGGGACTAGAGGAATCCAGTCTCCAAGCACAGCTCTCCAAAGCCCTCAGCCCCTCTATCACACCTGAGGAGGATCTCAGCTCTCCCCTCCCAGCCAGGGACACAGAGGGCTCATTGCAGCTGCCTGTGTGCAGATGCCCAGCAGCATTTCCATGGCCTTAGCACTGAGGTGTTTCCTCCCTGGGGCTGCTGGATAACACAGAGATGTCCTGGGAAAGCTCTGCCCACCTGGAGAGAAACCTGCAGCCCAGCACGAGCCCCTCAGAGCAAGAGTTGAGTGTCCTAAAATGAAGGTGTCCTGAAGAGAGAATTAGGTCCTTTATTTTCCCCTGATCCCAAAGATTATGAGGAGACTTTACTCCCATGGACACATCTGCACAGCAGGACCCACAGGGTTGGGCTCAGAAATGCAGCTTAACCCTGTACCCCCATCCCAGTAAGTCCAGGGATGACAGTAAGAGGAGTAGATACAGGAAAGCAAAAATGGAGAAATTCCCGAATGCTGGAACTGCTGCTAGAGGGAGAAAGGGACAGGCAGTTAGGTATTGAGTAAATTTTCCTCTTCAAGGCTGAGGCTGCTGCAAAGGTGCCCCATGGCCTTCAGGGCAGAGGCTGTTTTGAGTGAGAGAGGAGAGCAGGGGGTTGCTCCATGGAAGGCATCTGAACTGAAGGACTTGGCAGGGAGGAACTCAAATCCCCCCTCCCATGGTGTTCTGGGAGCAAATCCTTTTCCCTCCCTGTCCATGTCTCTGATACCCGGGGTTTTCCCTGCTGGGACCTGATTTTGTGTCCCCTTATCTCCTCCCTGTAAATGCTGCCAGCCCCCATCCCACCCGCTGTGTGCTCAGCTCTGCCCTGCAGACCCCTCCTGGCAGCAGGACACTGCCCAGGGGCAGCTCTGTGTGTTCAGGGTCTCAGGAGCAGCTCAGAAAAGTGGTAATGAGAAAAGGGATCGAGTGCCTTCTCCACAATAAAAAAATAATCTAACCATTCCACCCAGTCAAACAAGAAAAGAAATCCGAAAGAGTCGCTGCATTTCAAGTGCAGTCTAGACATACTTCTTCAGAAGGACCCTCTGCAAAATCCTCAGAATGATTTGGAGCTGTGAGCAGCACTGTCATTTCTGTGATGGGGGTCTCTCCTTCCCCTCACAGCTTCTCCCCACAACGCCGTGGGGAGCTCCCTGGGCAGGCTGAGTGCTGACCCTGGCAGGCGGCAGAGTCCCTGCCCCAGCACACAGCCCCCTGGGGTGCAGGGACCCTGCTGGGAAGGACAGCCCTGGGCACCCCTGCCTGCACACCCGGCTGCACACCCCTGCAGCCGGCCCCGCCAGAAGGCAGCCCTCATGCCCTGGCCCTCGCAGGGGGCACCAGGGAAGCCCTGCTCGGGAGCAGATCCTCCTCCTCCTCCTCTCCTCCTCCTCCTCCTCCTCCTCTCCTCCTCCTCTAGGCAGGAGGCAGATTCCTGGCGGCTCTGCCGCCTTCCCCAGATCCCTCCCCGAGCTGCAGCTGCATTGCCCTGCACCCCCAGACTTACTGTGGCCAGGGCCCTGACGCTTTCTCCTCCTCGGAGCTCTCAGCAGCCTCCCAGCCCAGGCTGCCTTGAAGCTGTGTGTGCCTCGCTGCTCTGCCCTGGGTGCCTGCAGGCAGTGCCCTCAGCCCTGCTGCGCTTTGCAGAGGAGCTGCTCCTGGGCAGAGCTGTCTCTCTGCAGCGCTGCCCACTTGCCAGGAGCTCCCTCCGGCCCAGGAGCCCGGCCCAGCTCAGCACCACAGCAACAGCCCAAGGCACTTTAATGACCCCTCAGGAGGGTTTGGTGCCAACTCCATAAACCTCAGGCACTGAGAAGAACCTGGAAAAACCTCTGAAGAAATCAGAGTTAAATTGAAACTCCAAAGTTTCTTGTGGCTTTAATGGCTCCCACTGAGGGCCACTGCTGACAAAGCCTCCCCAGGCTCCGGTTAGAGCAGAAATTTGGAGGCAGTGACAACAGTTTCAGAAAAGCAAGGGAAAGATGTCTCTGATGCTCAAGTAAACCTGAATGTGTTGCATTAAGGCAAAGTACCAGGCCTTGTGCCCATTAACCAAATGGCCAAGCCACGACCCCCAGCCCCTGGGAAGGGAGATCCTCTCCCTCCCACATTCCTCAGGGCTCTTCCTGGGGTAGGGGTATGGAGATGTGCACCTCCCAGGCTCCTGAGGATGCACAAGGAGGCCATGAGGCCCCCGTGCTGCAAGGGACTGTGCCTCCTCACAGGCATCAGTGGCAGAGACAACAGCCATGGCCAAAATCGTGATGGGGTTGAATTTATTGGGGTCTTTCAGCTTTTCCACAGTCTTCTGTCATCTCCACTACAGGCTGTCCTATGGGGTTGCATCCCCTGCATTTCTTTCCCTGCAGGCTCTCCTCATCACCCCAGCTGTCTCACCTCACTCCCACCTGAGCCTCTTCCTTCCTTTCCTGATCTCTCACCATCCTCCCTGGCTCTTGCTTGAAACACAAAGCCTTGGCTGATCCAGGATTCTTCTGAGTGATGCGTTGCATTGCTGCTTGTGTCCAGTCTGGCCTTCCCCAGCTGAACTTTTGTGGCATTATTTCTTTCTCATGCTGTTTTCCACTATGAAGAAAATCAACAGCTCTGAAACCTCTCTTCAAGCACTGTCAGTCTACTCCTAGACTTTCCCATGTCTCCACTCCACTCTTCTACGACATTCAACCTCCCTATACTGTTCATGCTCTTGAGGCCTCCAAACCCCATCTTGGGAGATGTCTGGGCACTCGCCAAGTTGTTTGTATTAAAATAGAGCGGTCATAGGCCAAGAAAGACCAAGTGAGGGTTTTTATCAGGGCCTGTATTGGCAGGAAAAGGGACAATGATTTTAGATTTAGATTTGATTTAGAGAAGAAATGTTTTACCATGAGACTGTGGAGACAGTGGAACAGGTTGCCTAGAGAAGTTCGAGGGAGGACACAACCATCACCAATTTGGGCAACCTGTTCCAGTGTCTCATCACCCTCACAGTAAAGAATATCTTCCTTAGATCTCAATCTAACCTCTTCTAATATTAAACCTTAACGTTTGACCTCTCCCTACAATCTCTGATCAAGAATCTCCTGCCACGTTTCCTGCAGGATCCCTTTAATTACTGGAAAACATCAAGATGGTCTCCCTGGAGCCTTCTCTTCTTGAGGCTGAACACCCCTAGCTCTCTCAGCTTGTCCTCACAGGGGAGGTGCTCCAGCCCCCTGATCATCTTCACGGCTTCCTCTGGCCCAGCTCAAGCAGGTCCGTGTCCTTCTTATGCTGGTGGTCCCAGATCTGGACACCGCACTGCAGGTAGAGTCTCATAAGAGCAGAGTAGAGGGGGAGAAAAACTTCTCTCAACCTGCTGGCCACTCTTCTCTTCATGCAGCCCAGGACACGGTTGGCTTTCTGGGCTGCGAGCTTACGTTGCTGGCTCATAGTCAGTTTTACATCCACTCCTACCCCCAAGTCTTTTTCTGCAGGGCTGCTCTCAATCCACTCTTTGCCCAGCCTGTACCTGTGCTTAGGATTGCTCCGATGCATGGCCAGGACCTTGAACCTGGCCTTGTTGGAATTCAGGAGGTTTGCATTGGCCCAGCATTTGTGCATGGTGGAGCAGGGGAATGAGAGGATCCCAGGGCCAGGTTCTGGATAAATGGAAGGTTCAAGTCCAACTCTTGGAGGGATCCATTTTGTCTATCTATTTAGGTACAGATGCTGCAGTACAGTAGCCTAGCATAACAACAGCCCACCCTTGTTCCCTTTCTCCACTGCCCATGGCTTGGATTGGCCTAGACACCTTCCTTCCACCACGGGTCTTCCCTTGACAATAATGCATTTATGGGGCAGGGAGGTTGCGTCAGTGCACGGACAGGTCTGGCTCTGACAGGGACCATGAAGCAGCTGCCAGGAGGTGACAGCAAGGACAGTTTACAAAAGACAAATTTATATGTATGGACCTCATTGTTTTTAGGAAGGCAACGCTTGCCTGGAGCTGGTGGTTGAAAGGAAAAGTCAAGAGTAAAAGGAAGAGTTTCAATTACAC